TCAGGCCGCCTGTTCCAGCTGCAGAACACAGCCGGCCTGACCTGACAGGCTGGGGCTGAATTACCGGCCCCTCAGCTAGAAATAGCCCTCCGAGAAGTGTGTGGTGGCTACGTGTCCACAGGGAGGGGAGCTAAGGAGTCCCAGGATCCTGAGATAACATGGTCCGGAAGCGCAGAGTCCCAAACATGGTGGGCTGGCCTGGGTCACAGGCTCCAAAGAGGTGAGTGGGAACCAGGATGTCTGCTTCTTGACGTGGGCTGCGTGACAAGCCCCAGGCATCCTGAGAGGGTGGGCTGGGTTCCGATGGGCAACCTTGGATTCAATCAGGTCAGCACCAAAGTGTCCATTGTTCCTTCCTTGGGCAGAGTCCAGCTTTGGAAGCATCACTGCTTTCCCTCTCGTTTTGGTCAAAGGCACAGAGCGGGGTAATAGGGGAAGCAGCCTGGCAGAGCTGCAGGCAGGGCCACTGAGGGCTGCAGACATTGCTCCTCCTTCCCCGACCTAGAAGAGAGGAAGTAGCTTCTGGAAGAGTCCCTTTCTTCAACACAGAACAGAAACGAGATCCATCCAGGTGAAGAGGAGCTTGCCAAGGAGGCTTCCAGAACTCCTGCCTCCAGGCTGTGCTCTTCCACTACACGACATGAGTTGGGAGGGGTGAGACCTGGGCTGGAGACAGAATAATTGTGCCAGGAATGATTCCAGCACCTTCACTGTAGGCACTCAGAGGAGTTAACATCCCTGAGGTGGGGAAAATGAAACCATGGGAAGCCAAAAGGTCCCGTTCCTGGGCCAGGGCTAGGACTAGAGAGGCAGGGAAGCATGTGTCTGCAAATGCAATGCACTAATGCCGTTTCCTTTATCTCCATAGCACCAGTCTTCCAAGTGGCACAGACGAGGCATGAGCTAAGTGTGCAAAGCAGGTGAAAAGAATCACCCAGCTGGTCCTGAGGCAGGCTCAGAATCCAGGTGGCCTGATGCCCTTCCAATGAATAATCATAACTGTGATGGGGGATGTGGGCGTGGAGGGAACTCTTGCTGACAGTCAGAAGCCTGATTCTGACACTAAGCTCTGACACTAACGTGGCTGTGTCACCTTGGCTAAGTCACCTCTGGGCCTCAGTTTTCCTCGTTGTAAAAACAGACAGTAATGAGGATCTCTCAGGTTCCCAACATACAATTATGAGGTTCTGAGTTTCTGGGACCCACACAAAGAGGAAAGTGAGGGAAAAAGAGACCCCTTGATCGCCCTGGTTGGGGGAGTTAGCAGGGGAGGAAGGGGAAGAAAATGAAGGGGAGAGGGAATGGATTCAGAATTCAGAAGTCTCCCAAGCTCTGAAAGCTCCAGGAGGGGTTCTGATTCAGAGAGGCACAAAGAGAAGATGGGGGTGGGGTGGGGGCTGAGAGGGAGCTGGGTGGAGAAAGCTGGGACCTCAGTCACCCCAGCAAGGACCATGTAGGGCCCAGGCTATGAGGTCTGGCAAGCCAAAGGGATACATGTAGGAATAACAGTTTGGGAGAAGTCCCTCTCCAACTAGACCATTTCTGTAAGCGACATGTGAGATGATCATTATGAAAGTATTTTGAAAAGTATAAGAGCCCTAGTTCTATAAAGCAAAAAAAAAAAATCATGGAAGTTAAATAGTGTTGAAGAGAAACAAAGGAGAGTCAAGGAGCACTCTGGAAATGTGAATACGTGTGGGTTTGGGAGGGAGGCACAAACTCATAAACTTTACACTGAGAATCATTCATTCAAAAGCTGTGTCTCCCACGCTGCCTCCACACCACATGTGGCTGTCTCCTGAGTAAAGCAAGCATAACCCTGTTCTTGTCACCCCAAGTAAAAGCTCTGTGAAACCATTCACACACGCCTGGCCTCCCCCAGCCTGGGACACATGTTGCCTTACCTCCCCCAGCTGTAGAGGTGTAGACCAGGAGAGGGTTTCCAGTAAGAAGTGTGTTAGCAGAGAAGAAGAGGGGTGAGGGGTGGGGAGGGCAGGATGGGGACTAGGGGCTGCAGCTAGGGATCAATCGTTGGACTTCTCTTGTGTCCCCTGCCCTCCAGCTCTTCTATGACCTTTGGTTTACTGGCGTTCCCCATCGAAGGCATCTGGTTAGTGCAGGGCTGTGTCCTACAAAATACACTACTGGTTATGGCACCAGAGGTAAGATAGCAGTGGCATGGATCCTGTAATATTACAGAAGTCATTCGTTTCACTTTTTATTATAAATAATAAGGGTTCTATTTATATATTTAAATTTATTTTTTACTATATATACATCTGTTGGGTTGACACTGATATTACAGTGACCTATAATATTAAATAATATATATAAGCATATATATGATATTAAATATTAGATTAAAGACATCTGCCTTACTTGAGTTTATCCCTAATCCAGTGTGGACATTATAAGCAAGGCAGGGGAAGAGAATCAAACCAAACAGAAGAGAATTTAAACACTCCCAGGCACCATCCACAGGTGGGTAACTCCGGGGTGGATGACCAAGTGTAGCAGGTGACAAAGCAAACACTTAGGGGAAGGGGCTGGAAGACAAGACAGTGCCATATCCCAGAACCATTCTGTGAACATCTTTAAAAAAGATTGTCTTATCCATAAGCATTTAAATGTCTTAAATCTCCTATCTAGCCTGGGAAGACATCATCCTGCCCCATAGACACATCCTGGGTACAGGCTTGGGTTTGCTAGAGAAAGCTTGACGCGTACTATGCCTCATCGTTATTGTGCTTGTGCTTTCTTATCAAGCCCCTGATGCTCTAGCTTTTTTCTTAACATGTTGTGGGGTTTGTACATCTTCTAGCAAAGTGCTTAGAAGGTCTGGAGTCAGACGGCCCAGGTTCCAGTCGGACCTCTTCCACATATTAGCTATACGCCTTGGGGCACATTACTTAAACTGAGTGCACCAGTTTCCTCATATCTATAAAAGAAATGGCAGCATCTCTTACATGGTTTATTATGAATATTAAATGAGCTACTACAAGTAAAGCACTTAGTTAAGCACGCGATATGTGTTAGTTGCCCCCATGATTATTATTGGAAACAGCCTTGGGAATCAGAAGACCTTGTCCTAGTTCCCCTATTTATTTGCTTTGTGACTCTGGATATACGAACCCCAAGGTCTCCATTTCCTCATGTATAAAATTAAAATATTGATAATGCCTGGTGTGCCTATCTCACAGAGTTGCAATGAGATTCAAATGAGTTAATACATGTGAAAATGACAGAGGAAGAACTGAGGGTTGTTAGTTGGGAGGGAGTGGGGATGAGGGAGAAGGGGAAGGGATGAGACAATACAAATTGGTAATTGCAATCTGGCCTCAGGGATAGAAAAAGACAGTCCGAGGAATATAATCAATAATGTTGTAAATATTTCTTAGGGGGCCAGATGGACTCATGTCCTGTTGGGGAGACCACTTCATAGTCGATGTAGAGGCCTGACCACGGCACTGTATTTCTGAAACTGATGTTGAATAATATTGTATGTCAACTATAATTATATAGACATATAGTCTTGGGACATGGAGTAGAGAGTGGGAATGGAGTCAATGGAATTGTAATAAATAAGCATGATATCGGGGGTGGGAGGGCAATACATGGGAAGAGGGGGGTTGTTGCTTTGTGAGGGTGAAAAGGGTAACTATTGCATTGTTCTGTACACCTGAAACTAACAAAAAAAAATTAAAAAAAAGAATACATGAGTGCAGACTTCTCTTAGAGGCCAAAATAAAAAATAAAAAAAATACATGTGAAAATGCTTTGTAAACTATAAAAACTTGTACAGTTGTGGAATAACAAACGGCACCCCCTTTGGCCTGCACATATATCATTGCACACCCCATTATGTTTTGCATGTGGTTACTTATTTTCATCTGCCTCTTCCATCACATCTTGCTTTCTTCTTCTATCAACCATGATGTCTAGCCTGATGCCTGTACATGGTAGATACTCATCAAATGGGAAGTTGGAAAAGCAGCAACCTCCTTGTGTGTATGTTTTCCTGGTATGCATTCCAGTAGCTTGCCCCCCACTGGACTGCATGTGCTGGGATTATCCCCCCACATCAGATGTAGCTTCCCAGAGGACACACCTGTGAGCAGCATCTCTGAGAAAGGGTCCAGTCCCAGGATCCAGGCTCCCAGTAGACACTAACTGTGGGGACGCCCCAGCCTGCCACTGCACTCCTGGGTCCTTCCTGGGCTCTGACCTCCTGTGCTCAGCCAGCAGCCTTCCAATCTTCATGAGGTCTCTGAATCGGTCTCCATACTATTGGAGAGACCATAGAGTTGCCCTAGATAGTCCAAACCAGGGACACTGAGAAAATCAAACCTCAGCGTTCTGTAGAGCAGCAGTGACTTCAAGGCGTTGTTTCTTTCTTCCCATTGTGAACTCTTCCCAATATGGTAACTTTGGTTTTCGCACCTCTACTCACAGCTCCCATGTCTTCAGAAGGAGGGGGGTCTCAGAGGGTGCTTTTTGCGGGATGGTGCCCTGTGTTATTTCTGTATCCTTCAAAACAGCCACCTAGTGCTGTCTACAGAGAAAGCACTGGACACATAGTTGCTGATGGGAATTAAAAGAACTGAGAAAACCAAAATGAACAAACTCAATGGGAGATTAATTGCACAGGAGTCTGTTGACCGCATGACTGAAGATGGATTTTTTCGGAACCACTGGCTGCCTTCACATTTCCTGCTGGAAGTGGGACAGGTCAACAGACAACTCAGAGTTGTAGATAACTTTGCCCACACATCATTCACTTTTTGGAGCGTTGGCTTGAAATTGAGGGGTTTGTGTGTGCCTGTGTGTCTGGAACCGATGTGCCTTCCGTGAGCCTCAGAGGTCTCTGCACTTTCTGCAAATGGGCTGATTACAACACAGAGGATGTGGACAGTGGAGTTTTTCCTGTTTGATGTCACACTGCTACCCTTTAAAAGTCTGAGAGAAAAAGGAGGGATTCCAGCCTGGGATCCTCACGCCAGATACCCACAGGAAGAAGAGGAGGAAAAGGCCAGGGAGGCCAGCCCAGAGTCGGGGAGGCAGTGTCAGGTTTCAATTCCATGCCAGCCATTCAGGGAGCAGTGATGTCGGGGCCCAGCCTAGGACTCCTGGTCTGCATCCTGTGCAGTGCGGTCAGAGCCTATCCCAATGCCTCCCCACTGCTCAGCTCCAGCTTGGGCGGCCTGATCCACCTGTACACGGCCACAGCCAGGAACAGCTTCCACCTGCAGATCCACAAGGACGGCCATGTGGATGGCACGCCCCATCAGACCATCTACAGTGAGTAGGGGCTGCATTCTGGATGGGGAAACGGGGAGCTCCTCAGTCCATCCACCTATAAGGGACTTGGGGAGACCTCGCGCTGGGTCAGAGGGCTACCCCAGCCTCCTAGCTTCTTGCCCAGGACCCACTTAGTGTGTGTGTGTGTGTGTGTGTGTGTGTGTGTGTGTGTGTGTGTGTGTGTGTTTAAACCTTGGGAGAAGATTCTGCCACCTTCCTAAATAGCACTGACTGGTTTCTCCCAACATGAATGACTTGTCTTAACCAAAATCCTTCTTCCCACAATAGCAGCCACTTTCTCTCTGTCCTGTCCAAAGAGTCAAAAAATGTACAGTAAGAAAGGCAAGAAGCCTGAGAGGAAAAAGCCAGATAGGTCTATAGACACTGAGTTTTAGCTCATGAACTTTGGACTGGGTTAGTAATGGAGATTGTGAAGAAGATTCCAGAACAAGGTTTGAGATAGATGAACTCAGGGGCTCTTTCCAACTCTGAGCTTCTTGTATTCTGGTCTTATAAAAATTCTCAGGAAAAATGTATTAAAGACAGACTATCCAGGTATGTTGTCTTGGTGAGTCTGACCAAGTATACACACCATTCATGCACTCACCTATCTGTGTACGCATGCATCCATCCATCCATCTATCCACCTACCCAACAGGTTTACTGGGGGATTTGAGGGACCCAGTTTGGTACGAATTGCTGATTCTTCTCTGTGGACCTGAAAGGTTCACTCAGTAGCAGATTGAGCTAGGTGGGAACTCTTTGCCTAAACGAGACAATTGGAATGTTTTTAAAGATTAGGTTTGTGGAAAGTTGGTTTGCCAGTCCACAATAATCAATCATCAATTATTTATGATTCAAATGAGGGCCCCTTGGTGTGCACCTTTATAAGAGATAACAGTGTGGGAGGGAGGATGGATATTGAAAAAGACAAGGTCTTCTATTTTATAAGAATATATAAAATTTACTCTAAGGATACAGAAAAATGCAAACTGATTCAATATAGATCAAATTAAAGGAATGAAAGAGTAACTAATCTGTTTAATTAAAGAAAGCTTCTTATAGGAATAATGATTTGCCCTTTATTATTATACTAAATTATTCAGTAATTTTGCTGTGGTCTTGCTGTATGCAAGACATAAATTCTGCTAAGAATCAAAGGTCCTTAAACTAGAGCAAAATACATGCACATGCAAAGCCAATAGTTCAAACTTCTTCGTGTGTCCAATGGATGGTGATAGGAGAAGAGAGGAAGGAGAAAAGGTCTATCCAAGTACCAGATCCCAGCACTCAGAAGGATATGTAGGATTCAGGAGTCAACATCTTGGAAGCCAAGTCTAACGGCAAAAATCTGTAATAAATCTGGATATACTTGATATATCCAGAGTGCAGCTCATTTTATCCAGTGGATATTTAACAGAACCTACAATGTGTGTGACATCATGCAAAGCTCTGTGACAGCAAAGGAAGACACAGCATGGAGGGCCACCTTACTGCCACTGCAAGGTGATAATTGATTTAAAATGCACGACAGTGAAATATGGTAAATTATTTTGATTCCCATAGATGGAAAGAATTTCATACAACTAGACAATGCTTATAAAACTTGTCTAGAATCATGGACTTCCTTCACTGAAAGGAACCCCTCAAAGACATGTCCACCTGAACACGACATAGAGAGGAATGGCATGTGCCGACTGTGGTGAGCTCACTGCTCCAGTGTGGGGCTCAGGCAAGCAGAATTGTAGAACTTTCTCGCAAATATCCATGGACTTCAGGCCCAGAGGAGGCACTGAGTACTGTAATAGTTGGAGTGAATTAAAATGACTGAAAAGAAGCAAAATGAATTGAACTGATGTTAGATTTTTTTTTTTTTGGACAGAGAAGTGATTTTGTTTTGTCAGGTATAGATACTAGCTAAGCACTGTGCCTCTGGATATCAACACAAACCTAGGGAGGGGAATTCAGGTCAGGGTGATGGAGGGAGACACTTTTCCTAGTTTATATAAACTTTTATGCTATTCAAGTCAGTTATCATGTGTATTAACAAAAATTATATATAGATGTACTAAAATAAAGAGTTACCAAAAAGGAGAGAGGAAACATTGGTGCATGTAGATAGGTAGCACAACTACGTAATTAACAGAGGATTTATAATCACCTCTTCAATGAGCGTAAAGCAATACTTTTACACCCATGGGAAGGAGTGGGGTGTTTTTACCCTCCTACTTATTTATAGATTTCCAGTGAAATGTCTCATTTGATTGTTGTGCTTTTTAGTAAATCATTGATTAATAGTTGAGAGCCCAACCCATCTTTGGGTTGCTGGTCACTGTGAAATTATCTGCCTACATGATTCTATAACGTCCTTTTAGTCTCACAGCACTGATGTCAGCGCCCCTCCAATGTCTATGAACAGGACCAGCCTCTCACTTCTACTTTGTGGAAGCAGCAGAAAAGAGATGCTTCTTATCCCTGGTTAATGTAATGTCCTATGTTCTGGTATTTTTACTTCTTCCAGCTTCCCCATGGCATTTCCTTTACTTGAAGGTGAATTATCCTCAGGCTCTTTAATCCTTCAAAATGTTACCTTTCTTTTGGAAAGTTCGAAGCACTTTACACCCCTCATCTCATTTGTCATTGACTGGCTGTGAGACGAGAACAGGAGAGATAATTTTCCACCTTGATAGCAGAGGTGGAGATGAAGTGATAATATTGGGTTGTCGGAAAAGTCATGACGCATTTTTGCAATAAAAAACATAGAAAAAATACGTCATGACTTTTACGACAACCCAATATAACAATTACCAGCATTTAGGAAGTGCTTTTATGGTGGATAAAAATATTATCTCATTACATTCTGAAGACAACCAAATGAGGTAAATGATTCTATGATTCTACTATATTTGAGGAGACAAAGGTGGAAAGATTTAAACAACTGGTTCAAGGTCACATAGGTAGTGAATGACCTACAGGACACCTTGACCCCAGACCTCTGCTTTGTCTAGTGTCAAATGCACCACCTGCGATGGCTGAAAGAAATATCCATTAAGTCAGCCTGGCTCCAACAGGCTGTGACCCAAGCAGCCAGGGATTTCGCCCTTCCTTCTGCTGAATTCTACCCTTGAATCTGTGCAGACTGTAAAAACATGCCTTCTGAAATTGCAGAAGGAAGGAAATCTGTCTCTGACATTTTCTGAACTTTCACATTGGCTCATGTTGGTTTGATTCAAGCCTGGGTATCCTCCACAGCACCTGCTCACTGCTCCTCTGATGGGACTGGTCCCACAGACCAGGAGCGTGTGCATCATGCACCCGGTCCACAGTGACTCCAAGCACCAGGCCAGCATGACTGCCAAAGTATGGGCGTGTCACAGAGGCAGCTCAGCACATACTGCGTAATGCCTTCCATTTGCTCAACGTTTTCAAGTCATTTTTACAGCCACCATCTGATTTGATTCTAATCATAACCCTATAATGTTGGAAGGACAGCTGTTGTTATTCTCTTTCTGTGGAAGCTGAGGCTAGAGCAATGAATTGCCCTATGCTACAAAGTTAGTAAATGGCACAGCTGGGACCAGACTCCACGGACCCCGGTTCCCCATTCCTGGTTCAGTGCCCTTTCCCTGACCCATTTGGGGCATGGTGATGGGGTTCTCATGGCCAGCAGCATGCTTTCTGGCACTTGATTTTGTCTTCTAATGCTTATAATCATTTCAGTTGGAGGCAAGTTAAAGGGTAATAGGGAGAGGGTGTTAGAGTCACTGACCTGAATTTGAATCCTGCCTTAGTGTCCGTATCACTTAACATTTGGAGGCTGCTACTACCACTACCGATAGTATTAACAGCACAATAGTTGTTTTGAGAATTTAAAATATGTAAAGTACTTAGAGCACACTCACTCAAAAACAGTTACTCAGTGCAATTTTTTCCTGATTAGATTGAAAATTCATTAGGACAGAAACTATTTCCTACATGTTTCTGATACTTCTCTCAGGGCTTATGTTACCACAAAATCAGCCATATATGGGAGACACATAGGCAGACCCCATTATGGAGTAAATTAAATATCCTCTACACCACCCATACCCCACCCCACTTCCAAAAGCTTCCCACAAGGCTAACCCTCAGTCAAACTTGGAAACAAGCGAACCTTTCTCTTGGGAAGCTCCCTCTCTCTTCTTCCTGGGCTTGCTCCCACCTCATCCCCTCTCTCACACAGCACTCAGGCCTCAGTCCATATCAGGACCCACACTCAGCTCATGTCTAAGTACTGTCCGCTGCTCTCCTCAGAGGGCCACTATTGAGCCTACATGAGGTTAGGATGGACTGCAAGTCACCCAAGGAGGCTCCACCACTTACTGAGCGCACGACATTTCCTGAAGAGGGATTGGAACCCCTGCCTGGGTTCCTTTCTTGAGGCTGTGAGGCTAAATGAGATGCAAGGGGAAATTCTGTGATTTGCAAATTCTGCAAATGGAAGTGGTCCCAAAGACTTGAGGAAATGACTTTCCACAGAAAATGTCAGGTAATTAAACAGCACTGGGGGGCAGAAGTCTTGCTGAATTGTGCCCTTGCCACAAAAAGAGAGCTTTAGACTTTATTTAACTGGTCATTGGCACTTGTTAAACTTGCAAATTTCCATGGGGGTGGGTGAGGGGGGTCACACTTAGAGCTATTATCAATTATTTAAGGTGTAGGTAGTATGAATGGGTTTCAGGCCCTTTTAGGAAACTAGTTTTTGAGAGGGGCATTGAAAGACCATGAGGGGACACCACTAGGTGAGAAAAAGACAAAGAACAGCAATAAAGACCCAAGAATAAATTTCATCCATCCCTGGTTATCTAACTCAACATGGAAAGAGAAACCTTCTGATTCTAAGTAGCTCCCTCTAGGGGAAGTACTAGGTATGTAAATTAATTAAAGCAAGGTGAATGAAATGCATGCTACAACAGAGTGCCAGGCATGGTTCTGAGGGAGCTGAGAAGAAAGAACGAACAATTGATGATTAGAATATTATGAAAGTTTCCATAGTAATAATGACATCTGAGCCTGGCTTTGAAGGGTGAGTGACTTCAACAAGCAGAGTAGGGAGGAGAAGAACAATTCTAATACAGTCCTTGACATATGATGGGTGTTGACTGATGTATCGGTGACTATTGCACAGTGACCTAGGTGGAAAATCAGGCTCTGTACGTAAGCTGGACCCTTAAAAGACATCTTGGTACAGATTCTAAAATCACAAAGGCAGAAGGCTTGGGAGAACGTGACCACCACCATGAACATGAAGAGGAATTAGCCAGGCAAGGGGGAAACAGACAGTCCAGGAAATGTATACAGTGCAGGTGAAAGAATATCAGGAGCTCAGAGTGCTCCAAGTGCAACAAGAGGATGAGGAAGGAGGCAACTGGGGGAAGGGGCGGGGGAGCAGAAGAAATGATGTGGAACAAGTGAGTACAAGGGGAGGGTTACGTGAAATCACCACCACCATTAAAATAAATCAACGGAGGATTCATGAAGGTGGATTTTCAGGATGTGCGTGAAGGTGGGAATTGGGTGTGTAGCAAGGGTTTGACCTGATTTTCTCCGCAGGTGCCCTAATGATCAGATCAGAGGATGCTGGCTTTGTGGTGATAACAGGGGTGATGAGTAGGAGGTACCTCTGCATGGACTTCAGAGGCAACATTTTTGGATCAGTGAGTTTCTTTTTCTGCTGATCATCATTTGCAAATAATTATCTAATTTCTTTGACAGATCAAAGATATTTATAGCCTGATGATATTTATAGCCTGATGATTCCATTTGCAGTTTACTTTGATGACTTGTTTTCACTGAGTACTTTTTTCAGTCTAAGTATTAAATGCTCAGGTTTATACAGTTGGGGTTTGAACCCAGGCAGCCTGGTTGGGGGCCCAGACTCTTAGTCTGTATTATGAACTGCCTGTTAGTGCCCATTTTTACGTCTAGCCCAGCACCTTGCATGTAGCCGGTATGTCCCTTAGTCTGGTAAATACATGTTACAAAGTGCATTAGAAAGGGCACGAAGCCCTGGCATCTTCTTGGTTCTAGACCTCCTTGACCTTGGGCAAGTCCCCTCACTTCTCTAAATTTTCCTCACTGGGAAAAAGTGAAGTGGGATGGACCACGTACCCTGTGGGTCTCCCCCAACCCCAAGTTAAAGATCTCTAATTATCTTGCTCCAACTGCGATGGCTGGTCCTTTAGATTGGTAAGCCAAGGATTTTCCAAACTCCAGGTTGCAGAGCACATCCCAGAGGATTTTGAGGTAGTACAATTGTAGGACTGCTTATCTCAGGAGCCTCTTACACCAGACAGACCCACTAGAAATTCCAGGAGCAACGACTTTCTGTTTGGCATGCTGCTGTGTCCCAGCACCTGTAGTCATATCTGGGCCAGAGCAGATAAATACCTGTTGAAGAAATACAGACAATAAATAAATAAATACGTACATACATACATACCTGTTGACCACATACAGGCATATAGATCTCACCTGTGAAATACTACTTCATGGGGTTTGAGGATTAAATTAAATAATGTGCAAAGGCTCTAGCAGGCATGCGAGAAAAGCTGGCACTAATTAGTGGCAGAATAAGGGCTCAGAACTAGGTCATCTGTTGCCAAAGTTCATGTCCCTGATTCCCAAACTGCATTGTCTCTCTGACGTGAGTACCCTCATTTCTGTTGGACCCTGCAAACTGCATCCCACCTCCTTCCTCCAGGTAAGGAGACAGACCCAAGCCACTTTTCAGCCAAAAGAAGGTTCAAAAGGTAGGGGAGTCGGAAGGACACGGATGCGTTTAAGTTAGCCCTCTCCAGCAACCAGGCACAGGAAATGCTCCGGCTCTGTCTGTGTCTAGCCGGAGAGCCGCGGCGGGCCAAGCCAGCCGGTGTCCGGGCAGCGGGCTGTGCGGCCCCCGGGGTTGCCACTCCCGGGGCGTGGAAGCTGTGTTCAGAGCTTGGGCGATTTGGAAAGCACCAGTCAGAGTCACGTTTCCGCAGCAGGGCGCGGTGGGGTGAACTCCACCGACCGACCCAATCGAGTTGTCGGGAGAGACGAAGCCCCTCCCGTCACCAACTGACCCCCAAGGGCTTCGGGCGGGTCGTCCCGCAGCAGGGGCCCAGGGCTGGCGGTGCGGGGCCACACTCGCCGCCCTCCCTGGGCCTCACCTGGGTCGCTTTGCCTTTTCAGCATCACTTCAGCCCCGAGAGCTGCAAGTTCCACCAGCGCACGCTGGAGAACGGCTACGACGTGTACCTCTCGCCCCAGCACCGCTTCCTTGTCAGCCTGGGCCGGGCGAAGAGGGTCTTCCTGCCGGGCACCAACCCCCCGCCCTACTCCCAGTTCCTGTCCCGGAGGAACGAGATCCCCCTGTTCCACTTCAACACCCCCCGGCCGCGGCGGCACACGCGCAGCGCCGAGGACGACGACTCGGAGCCCGACCCGCTGAACGTGCTGAAGCCCCGGCCCCGGATGACCCCCGCCCCGGCCTCCTGCTCCCAGGAGCTCCAGAGCGCCGAGGACAACAGCCTGGTGGCCAGCGACCCCTTAGGGGTGCTCAGAGGCAGCAGGGGAAACGCACACAGTGGGGGGCTGGGGGTGGTGAGGTGCCGCCCCTTCCCCAAGTTTATCTAGGGGCATCAGAAACCAATCCTTTTCCACCACCTTTCAGAAAAGTAAACTATTTTTAAAGGGACCAGCTCCCTTTACACGCCAAGGAAGGGAAGGTGGGTTGATGTGTGGAGTTAGCTGCTTCTGTCCGTTTCCTTCCGCAGGAAAGCCCCTGAGAATCTGCCTTTGAGGCTGAGAAATGAGTTTCGCCTCCTTCCTGTCCCCACCTACACCACCTTTCTGAACTGAGAAGCCCCCATAGGTAAACTAGACCTCATTTCCCTTCACTAAGGAAGGGAGGAGGGATTTCCCTCCCTTATTTCCTTTCCGTATGCCTCTCTTCTTAATCCGTCTAGCACTAAAAACTGCAATGGCTTAGCGCACCACTTTGAAGGTGAAGGAGAAGCCAATGCCAGCAGCTTCTCCACTGTCCTTGCATTTGTTACCTTGGCCCTGGTGACATTTGAGTGTGCGACCTTGACCTGGGGCAGTAACAGCTGGCTAACCAGGGCACCACATGGCAGGAGTGATGCAAAGACCACACTGTCAGCGCTTCACTATGATTTCTTCTCCACCCTGCAGCAGGGGCTGGGGGATTCGTTACAACATTCCTAGGCCCACAGGTCTGCGTCTTAATCAACTTGGAAATCCTGGGGGCATTAAATGAAGAGCGCTTTCAGGCCCAGGAGCCCCCAGTACTACCCTGAGGAAAACCAACCCTCACTTGTCAAATAGCTGAGAAGCACCAGACAGGTGAGACTGTTGCTCAGTCCTCACCCCCGCCTTACCCTGTGACTTAGGGTCTTCACAAGGGGACCCATTTTCCTACCTCTATTTGAGCAGGATATTAACAAGCAAAGTAGATTTAAACAAGGAGCTCTCCCCAGTCACCCTTTTTTCCCCCACTGCTACCATGTATACAACCTTACAAACTGACCCATTTCTTTTACTTAGGAGAGAAACATTAGGCAACTGTGTTCACCTGACGGTTTGAAGCTGAACTTGAAGGACTAGTTCCTATTCTGAAACACTAAGATTCTAATACTATATAGCAGTGCTTGGCAAATATTTTCTTCATATAGTTTTAATTTCCCGTTAGAGTATAATACTGTATGAAAGCTATTGGAAGCTCTTCAATACTGGTAACTAGATGGAAAGTTCCCAAAGGACTTGGGTGGAAAACTGGTCATAGCCTAACAAATTCAGCACCATTTATCAGGGGTTTTCTGTTTGGCAGAGCCAAAGTAGGCCCCACAATTTCCTATGCCCCTTAGCACATGGCAATATTTATTTATTTATTTGGAAGATTTTGCCTATCGCTCTATATTTATATATATTTATAAAAATGTAAGCTCATCTTTTTCCTTTCTTCTGTTTAAAAGAAAAATAAAATTCATCTCAACTTCTGTTGGCTTCTCCTCTCTGTATCACTACATCAAAGCATGTCAGAAGATGAGAATAAAAAGGGTTATGGGAGGGAAGCATTGTGAAAATGCAGAGAAGGCAAAGTTGTAAAAGAATATCGGCATTTTTAGACATTCAGTTTTTTTCAGAATTATTAAAAATAAGGAAAGATTTTTTATTAATATTGGATTTCTAATCACTCTACCTCTAAAGTTTCCCTGAAAGAAATGTTTTTTATTTGAAAAATATCCAGACACAACCAATCGCAATAAACCAGATGCTCTGTACTTAACACATGCACAGTGTTACTACTGCCCTGTGCGACTTGATAGAACAAGATAATGAATATACATCTCTTTCTGAAATTGGTGACCCCAGACGCCCTTCTTTAATCTCTATCTGATCAGTTACTAAAACACAGGAAGCAAAGATGCCTATTACACATTTACATCTCTCTGCGTTCAAATTTACATCAGTCAAGCTTACAATTTTTCATTACCTGACTTGAGCCATCAGCTTCTCCCTTTTAACAATTAAAAGAGCTTAGTATAAGGCTCACTATTTTGACTGCTGTTCAAATGACCTGACAAAGTCTACTAAGGGGATTGTATTGATTATGTCTCTTTAAGAGTCTGAATACCAAAGTCCTCCACTATAGAGAAAGGGGATGGATACAGCATCATGGTATACATGGAGTGCTGGTCAAATGCTATATTTCTTTGATCACATAAAACAGATTTATTTTATTTAAAAGGCAGATTATTGTTTTAAAGGTTCTATTCAGTCTTTTAAAAATCTTTTCAGGGGCCGGCCGAGTGGCGCGATGGTTAAGAGCTGGCTTGGGATGCCAGAGGGCCCCGGTTCGGATCCCACATATGAGGGCCAGTGACACTGCCCTCCACAACTAAGATGCTGAACAACAGTTCAACCTGGAGCTGGGCTGCCGTGAGTCGCCGGCGACGGCGTAGGCAGCAGCCCCTGCTGCAGTGGGTTGCCATGGGCTACCGTGTGTAGCCAGCAGCCGCAGTGAGCGGCCGTCCAGAAGCCAGCGACTGATCTGCCTCGCCCGGGAAGAGCGCAATGATGGTGCCAACTTGGGCCAGTGAAGCAACGTCCTCCACAACTAGACTGAAGAACAAAACGACGGCAACTTGTCTGTTCCCATCCCCCAGTTCCCCAGCACTGTTCCCTTCCCCCCAATTACCCAATAAAAATCTTTAAAAAAAAAATCTTTTCAACAGATAACTTGGTCTCTGCTTATAAGGTTCACCCTCCACAGCATTTCAGTCTTCTCACCCAAAGGACTTTAAAATCTGATAGCCCATAAGAATGAAGCAATACCAAAATTGCCATTTGGGAATAATAAGTCTTCATTCCATTGTAGAAGGAGAATAAAACACTGTAGAGGAAAAAAAGATATCCTGCAGACATTTACCTTCCACAGACTTAGAAAAGTTCCTTTCTCTGTCCATGAAAGTTCTCCCTAAACAAAGGAAATCTAAAACTTTTAACACAAAACAATTCATGGGGCGAAGATAGAAGGTAAGGGAAGTGCATGGGTGTGTGTACATACTACATATATATTTACATTATATGCCTCTGACCGCTAGAAGTTTCACAGACCTAACCATAGCAGGGATTCCAATAATTAAAGCCCAATCTTTATCTCATCTATAGAATTATAAATCTTTGGTGAATAAAGATATCACAGCCATTACACATATTTGTATAGATTCTTAATGTTTATACAGAACTCGTGCATCTTGACTAAGTTAACATTTCTAACTACATAGCTTCCACTTCCATCCATGAAAAAGTAACTGGTACCAGACTCGCTGTCCTACCAAAACAACCATAAAACAAAACATGTAAGGCAATTGTTTTCAGGCATGGAGTAGCACAGGACTATGATCTTTGGCAGAAGGGAAACTTACAAGTTAAGTGCCATGACCATCCCCCCTTCCTACCATAGGACCACTTGAGAGGAAGATGGAACCCAGGTAGAGTGGCAATCTCACTGAGCTGAGAAAGCAGCTGGACCTTGTGGGGTGGGGGCGCTGAGAAAGAGGAGCTGTGCAAAGGGGAGATTTCAAAGTCTGCATGAGCCTTCACTGCAGGACTTCAACCAAGGACTGGGCTGCACATGCACAGGGAAAGAGTCAGCAAGACCTAACAAAGATCATCTGCTACAGAACTGGGAGATGAACTGGGAGGGAATGATGCCAGAGGCCATAAAATGCTTAGAAACATTAGAAATCCAACTAAGCCAGGGTGAAGAGACTCACTGAGTGCATCAGCATTAACTGAGACCACAGAAAGGCCACATCTTAAAAGGAAAGCCTGAGCCCCAGAAAAAGAAATGCACCCTAAAACTAAATCCAAAACTGAAGTTGACCTGCTCTAACAGAGAATTATAAGAAAGCCTGACATGACCACGAGAATCTTCCACTAGTTTAACTGTCTGCCAGAACAAAACTGAACATCGTTTAAAGGAAGATGACATAATCCAGACTCAATATATGGTATCATCCACATTTTGAGAATAAGGGAAAATGGCCCTGTCAAGAGAAAAGACAGTCACTAGAAACCAACCATAAGATGACCCAGATGTTGGAATCAGGCAAGAACTTTAAAGCAGCTGCTATTAACTAAATTTAAGGATTTTAGAGGCAAGTTTGATCGTATACATTAGGTATCTCAGGAGAGAAAGCCAATAATAGAAAAGATCCAAACAGGAATCTAGAATTAAAAAATACAACATTTGAAATGAAAAATGTATTAAATGGGATTAATAATAGCAGGTTGGAAATGAAAGAAGAAATATAGCCATTTAATATAAAGTTATCTAATCTGAAGAGAAAAAAATAAGTTTCAAAAACAATGACCAGAATGTCAGTGATCTGTGGGACAATATCAAACCATCCAAAATATTTGTAAGTGGAGTCCCAGTGTTACCAGTGCAGGGGTCCTTGCCCCTTTCAGGATAGAGATCAAGAGAGTGGGTGAAAGGGTTTGCAGAAAGGTTTCTTGAAGCGAAAGTTTGATGCACTACAAGAGCATACTCCAAAAGAAAATAGAAGTGGCTCCCCGAACAAAGTGGCATAGCGTTTTTAGGGGCCCTCAGTTTAGGGGCTGGGTTAACTTTGAGGGGAGGAATATTCATGAGTTTTCCTGGAATGGGGCAGGGAGTTCTGAGAATTATGTTGCCATCCTCTTTTTGGTCTTATATGGGCCGCTCCGGACCTGTCATGGCACTGCTGGGCGTGTTATTTAGTATGTAATGAGGACAGATCAGATCACCCAGAGGACAGCTCCTCTAACTGGTGTTCATGCGCTATTGTGGAGACATTTCCTAAATCTGATTACATCTCTTTTGCAGTTACCTCTCCAATTATTTTTGTTTTTTATTGGTGGGAAAGTGTAACTCAAGGTTGCTTCCCCAGCACAGGTTTTGGTTACATGACTACTGCCTACACCAAAAGGATAGGAGCAGAAAAGGTTTAGAAATAAGAAATATTTGAACATAAAATGGCTGAAATTTTCCTCAAACTCATGAAAAACTAATGTACTGATACAAGAAGCTCAGCAAACCTGAAGCAAGATACATACAAAGAAAAACACATTTAGGTATATTTACAGTCAAACTGATGAAAACCAAAGATAAAATCTTGAAAGCTGCTGCAGAGAAAAAAAAAAAGACACTTTACATATAGGTGAACATCTATAAGAATTATGGCTGATTTCTTATTGTAACCACAGAACCAGCTCCAACTGGCCCTATCTTCTTTCTTTTTTTTTTTTAAAGATTTTTATTGGGGAGTTAGGGGATGGGAACAGCGCTGGGGAATTGGGGGAAGGGGAACAGATAAGTTGCTGTCCTTTTTGTTCTTCAGTCTAGTTGTGGAGGACGTTGCTTCACTGGCCCAAGTTGGCACCATCACTGCGCTCTTCCCAGGTGAGACAGATCAGTCGCCGGCTTCTGGATGGCTGCTCACGGTAGGCCATGGCAACCCACTGCAGCAGGGGCTGCAGCCTACCGCCGCAGGTGACTCACAGCCGCTCAGCTCCAGGTTGAGCTGTTGTTCAGCATCTTAGCTGTAGAGGGCAGTGTCACTGGCCCTCATATGTGGGATCCGAACCGGGGTCCTCTGGCGTCCCAAGCCAGCTCTTAACCAACATGCCACTCGGCCGGCCCGGTCCTATCTTATTTCTAACAGGACCTGGAACCAAAGTTTAAGCCTTGGATATAGCACTTAAGAGTATCACTTTTGAACCTTTAACTGTTCGCTCCAATGGACCCAAAGGACTGGAACATGAATGCAGCCTGAACACTGGAACCCTTTCAGAAGTGAAGGGTCCATTGTCCAGGAAGATCTGGTGTTGAACCCCTTAAATCTTGCCCTAAACTCTGGTTGGGGAGACAGATTTGAGCCTTGCCTTCTGTCCCCTTGCCAGTCGACCCCGCAAAAACAGCTTTTTCTTTCCTCAAATGCCAGTTCCACAGTATTGGCTTCGGTGGGCATCGGGCAGAGAGCCACTGCTCGGTAACGTCATCATAAACAACAGAAGCCATGCAACAATGGGATGGCACATTGTAAAGGTTGAAAGAAAGTAAAAGCTACCTACCCAGAATTATATATTCGGCAAAAACATGAATGAAATGAAGATGGAAGGAAATGAAGGTGGAATAAAAACTGACAGAACCGGTCAGGCTGAAAAGAAGCAACATCATATGGAAAAGCTGTAGGAAAGAAAGAAGAGCATCAGAAATAGGAAAAATGTGGGTAAATGTAAACAACAATTATTCAGATACATATAATATATATTATATATAAATAATACTTTCTTCCCTTGATTTCTTTAAAATGTTGCTTAAAGCAAAGTTAGAACACGTTGGGGTTAATAATATATGTAGGTGTCATACACATGGAAAAATTACCA